GCACTTGTCAGTGTTGAAACCCATCCTGTTCTTATCCGCCCACCCTTGTAACCTGTCTAGGTCCGATTGCAGCCTATTCCACCCATCTAGCATGCCCACATCCCCCCACATCTTAGTGTCATCAGCAAACTTGAACAGGGTGCTTTTTACCCCCTCGTCCAAGTCACTGATGAAGATGTTGAACAGTGAGGGCCTGAGGACCGAGCCCTGGGGAACCCCACTGCCCACATCCCTCCAGGTCAAAAATGACCCATCCACCACCACCCTCTGGGTGCGGCCCTCCAGCCAGTTGGCAACTAAATTGACTGTGTGGGTGTCGACACCACAGTCCCCCAGTTTCTTAATGAGAACAGGGTGAGAGACTGTGTATGAAAATAAGTAAGTTTGACTTCAGATTGGCATTGCTAAGCACTGTTGCATATAAACTTGGCAAACACTCCAGCATTTGGACTTAACTGTTTACCCCCAAGCTTTTAAGCCTTCATCGTGGTCACATATATGGAAGTTTCTACAAGACAAGTGGGGTCTACCTGTCACTGGAATCTGTTTTATTGCAACTAAGTGATAATGATAAACAACCAGAGGAAGAAACTGGAAATTGGCCCATTGCTGTTCTGTTCCTCCCATCATTGCTCGGCTGGTTGGACTCCATTCCACCCACATTATGTACGTGCTCTTCCTGAAGTGCAGTAGAGGTCTGGTGCAATTCATAGGAGGTAGGAAGGACAAACTGAAAATTTTCTGAATTTTCCAAATACACTCCAAATACACAGAGCATTTTGATTTGGGTCTACTCTGGTCAGATACTCTCCAAGCCAATGAACCAATATTCCATTACCTTAAAACTACCGTCTGCATTGAGCCGTCTTCCACTTTTGTTTTTATTAGGCTTTTTCAGAGCAGTTCGCCAGGAGCCTGTGAAGTTTGGCGAAATAGGGGGTCAGACGCATATTAACTATGTTCATTGGTATGAGTGCGGAACTTCAATACCCGGAAAATGGTAGATGCTGCATGAACTTGATCATGAAAAATTCCCATCATTAGACCCACCTGCCTTCCCTGAAATAAGCTGAGACACGGAAGAGTTTATGATATTCCTGCCATTTAAACAAGTTTGCTAACGTGTAAAAGTTCATAAAAATCTAATGACAATACTGCATTGTGTAATAGCCTAGGCTGCTTACTGTATTTATCCAGTTTTACAAATTTGTTTTAGGTTAAAACAAGGTAAGGATATGTTGTAGGATAATGTCTGGGGAAGCTGGCTCCCTGTTCTTGGTATCGCAAGGTACGGTTTATATGGTATTTTAAAAGATTCGGTGTGTATATTATTTATCACAATGTTGTAATGAATGTTCTGAGGCACAATTGTGGCAAAGTTGACCAGAAAACTGCAATATGCATTAATTTTATATATTCACTGTTTTTATCATAATATATAATGCCATATGCTTCTTGTCCAGGTACTTCTGGAGTCTTGGGCTATTTCCCCACTCTACTTAAACTGTAGATTAAAAAACCAAACAAACAATAAAGGACACAAGCGCAGCCTGTAGAAGTCTATGTAGCTTATTGCCAAATACCTAAATGTTAGAAACTCCGCCTGTTTGTATTGGTTAGGAACATTGGTATATAGTCTATCTGCATCCAAGTTAAAACAGAAGCTGATCCAGATTCAAGTCCTTCTCCATGGTATGCCGACTGGCAGTATTTTTTCTTTATACAAGCGTATGTACTTGGGAAACAGGATTAAAACTGGCTTGCTGTTGGAAGTGATTTACATAAAAGGTAGCGTTTTCTGAATTTCAGACCAACTGCCTTACAAGCCAAATGGATAGCACAACAGGATTCTGCAAGATCATGTGTGAAGTGGGGACAGGACTTCCCTGAATCATATTTACATGCCATTTCCTAGCCAGTCCTAGCATAATCAGGTTCTCTCTATAAGAAGATAGAGACAGGCTTTGAAGAACTGTTTGATATTAGGGGACAAAGGGAAAATAGCAATAAATGAATTTTTAAAACTGCTTTTACAGTATTTTGATTAAAAACTCACTTGCCACTTCTTCCCCTCCCAACAAAGCTATCTGTTGTATTGCTTGAACATTTATGAACGAAATAAAGAGATGTAGTTTTTTTAAGTACGGTGTTTATTCATTACATTAAAAATGTATTGACGGTATGAACAGGAACACCAAGGAAATAATAGAAGTCATTTATAGAAAATGCCTTAAAGTACATTGCAGGTACACTGTACTCCTAATAAAGTATTTTTTAATCATGTGAAGTTTTACTTTGAGTCATTTTCTTCTTGGTGTTGTGTACTGGTGCAAAATGAGTGCTGGAGAAGAGGTACCGCCAAAATGACAGCTTACATTGCAAGCTTCCTTGCATTGTGAAACTGTCTGTACCCTGTTCTAGAGGTATCACTACTGTAGTGAACAGAAAAGTTGGATGTGTTTTCCTGCAAACACACCAACTGTTTTTATACGGCTACCTGGTGCACTAAGAATTGGACTGTGGCCAACCAAAACTAGTAACTGTCAGGGTTAGGAATGTGTCTTAGGGATGAGACATTTATCTCTAATGTATTAATGGGGCTGTACTAGAAGAGGAGACTCCAAGTATTTCCTAAGTGCATTGCTGCCTCCCCACCATACTGAGATGAACAGAAATCAGGCTGGATGTGCAGGTCACATCCTAGTCCTATTATTTGATTCTTTTCAAAGAGTTTGGACATTTTAATACCACCTTACCGCACATTTTTTAATAAGGAAGTAGCTTGCTCCGGTCAAACAGTTCATAGTGCTGTGTCAGTTGTGCATTACACCCAAATCCTCACACAATTTCCATTCTTTTCTCAGGACTCGCCTTAGCCGTTCCGTCCATTAGCACTGGCTATGCAGTATGGTTTCTAGGAATACTTTAACCAAAGCAAAGTGGTTTTGCCCTTTGCCATGTTTTGTTCTGTGTGGTCTGCTTTGGGTTTCATAACAGTCATGGATTTGGGGTTTGGGTTTACTTTTCTTTTTGGCTCAGTATGACGCTACCAGCACTGCTGTCCAAGTTTTTCTGAGTGGCAAAAGGTTTGTGTAAACTATTTCTTGTTAAGGATTCCAAGCCAAATACCTCAAAAAGATTCCTATCGAGTCACTGAAGCTTTGTTTTTTTAAAAATCAGAATACAAGTTAAAAAAACCTCACTGCTATGTCAGTTTCATGGGTTCCTTAATGTATCTGTTCACTTTTCTTACTGTAGCACTAAAAAGAAAAACTACTGTGATTTGGCAATCTGGCAACTGTAGGCATTGAAAAATGACTCTGAAACTGATCAGTACAAAAAACAGCCTGCCTTTGTAATAACTTTCCCACCATGCAGATTGGGTGACAAATCTAGCAGTTTCACCCAAGGCCTATACAACACATAGGTTCTGGTTTGGGGGGTTTTTTGTTTGTTTTTTTTAAGAACAGTTGATAGAGTAGATCTCTTTAACTAGACAGATCTAAAAAGAGTATAAACAAGTAAGTGTGCTCACACCGTCTTATCCAGAGTGCTTAATTAAAACCAGTCAAGCAGTGGGTTCAATCTTTTTTATTAGCTTTCAATGTGAATGTTACAATTTATACATAATATCTAGCTTTAAGTCCAGAATGGATCTAATTTAGTACATTATATTATTAGTAAAAACAAGCCAGGTAAGTGGGCTAAATTTCCAACTAGCATTTTAATATCCTTCAGACAAGGCAAGCTAGAATGTTAAACACTTTACAAACATTTAGGTAGTGTTTCCAAAACCTCAAATTAAACTAGGAAGCCAATACAATTTAAAGCAGAAAAAGGATTCATTTGGTCTTTTGTCCCAGCAAATTATTTCACTTATTGAACAGCAACACTGATATAAAGATTTCTCTCTGCCTTCTCACTGTTTTGAAACTTTAGTACCAATTAAAAGTATTGGAGTCTGTTAAGATGGAATAGTATCTAGCAGCTGCTTGTATGTACCTGTGCCATTCAGCAGCTGAGCTTCTTTATCGATAGCCAGGTCCTGGTTGGGCATAGCCCTGACTAAAGGGTGGACGGTTGCGTGCATAAGGGTTGGGCCCACTTGGAGGGGGAGTCATGGTGGTTCCTGGGGGTGGTGTAAACCCTGGCCTTGGCTGATAAGCACCTGGCTGGCTTGGAGCCATTCCAGGTTGAGAGGCAGGGGACACACTGTAATTAGCAGGCTGAGAGGCTTGTGTAGTATAGTTCTGTGCTGCGTAGCTGCCGGCCTGGTACTGTTGAGGAGCTTGAGCAGACAGTTGCTGCGGTTGCCCAGGAAAGCCAGGAGCTGGAGCCTGCGATGCCTGTTGGCTGTATCCTTGGAACTGCTGCGCTGGCTGAGGACCAGTCTGCTGACTGTAGCCCGCTGGGAAGTCAAACACAGTAGCAGTACATTGAGGTGACAACAAAGCGCACACACTTTCAGAAGTGCTTATTTTCTTATGAAACAAAGACACTTGAGCCACAATAACTAATAAGTGCAATATGTTACCCCAAGGTTTGATATATGCGCAACACAGACACCACCAGACAATAAACTGCAGTTTCCTTTCCTTCATATAAGCACAAGCTTGTTGGTGCACTAAAGTTCTCCAGCAACAGTAAACAGCTTTTTACTTGAGACCAAACTGAAGCTTTTGCCTTTAAGTTGCTATCCCAGAGCTAACTTAATTGGAAGAGGAAGGAGAAGGGGTGAGGAAGGAGAGCGGGCAAGGCCTCTTTTATTTTCACATATTACACTGAAAAATCAAAGTATCATTTGGGACAGGTTTTAGCTTTGTTTCTTTCAACAAACAGATTTCAAGTCACTGCCAAGCTACCTGCATTACTGGTTTGTTTTTAAGAGAAAAATTATGTATTCACAAGCCCATTTGTGGTTTAGTTTACAGCTTTAAATAGTCGTTACCAAGAGGGAGTTTGCAGAGTTAAACAAATAAGTAATCTCACTGCAAAAGAGCAAGCGAACACAGCTGCTGCCTGCTTCATCTTAACGTGTCCCAAACAATTCTGTGTTTGCCTGCAGAAAACTAGCTTCCATGGGAATTTCTCGGACTGGAGATTTTAAACACAAATCTTGCTATAACATGAGAGCTACTTTTATCTCTATCATGAAACACACCTGCAGCTATTTCCACTGAAACCTCTCCATTGACTGGAATCCTGTCAGCATTAAACACCAGACACACAAAAGTTATTAAAAATGCACAGCCCTAAAGAGAAAGACTAAGGATTGAAGAATGCATTGGAGTAAATTTTGAACTCACCTTGAAATTGGGATCAAAATTTACTCGTGAAACAAACCTTTCGAAGGTTCCTTTATCATTGGCATGACCAAAAGTCAGCACCACAGCAAAGCACACCTGCCAGAGGAGAGGGGTGGGAACAACCCACTGTTGGGGCAAAAAGGGAGTGGGATGAGTGTTCAAAGAAAGCCCACTCCCCTCTGAAGACAACAAGGGGCAAGGAATGAAGACTATGGTAAAACACAGGTACAGCTCCTGAATGGCAGCAGTCAAAGATGATCTACAAGGAGGTGCCCTGCCTGAGTACTCTAATCTAAGCACAAAAAAAAGTTACCTGAACTTTTAGAATACGTTTCACTGCAACCTGAGAGGTTGTTGTTTAAATTCCTGCTTTTAGTTTGAGAAGTTGGAACTCTCACAATATGCCAAACCTTCATAAAACATCTTCCAGCAGATTACTGGATGAAGTCTGCTATTATTACTATTGGAAGTGAGTAAAACTAACTTGGAAGCTAGAATCCCCACTCAGTTCTCACGCCTGGAAAGTGTGAGACGGGCCCTCCTACTACCTTTGTTGAAATAAGGTTTCAGGAAGTCTGTCACTGTCTTCAAAACCATAAATATTGGGGTGGGTAATCTGCAGAGAACAAGAAACTGTTAGAGCAGTCAGCCATGGCTTAGCACTTTGCTAAGTGCAGGGATAAAGGTTGGCACACAGAGAATGACCTAAGGGTCTGAAACTTTCCAGGACTCAGACTCTCATCCAAACCAGGTTATGATTTGTTCACCAGTTCTGCAAAGCTGAAAAATCCATCCTTGAATATAAGTAAGCTTGTTCAAAGTAGTGTATTTGCCTGCACAATCCTCAAGAAGAGCAACAGCTTCACTTTGTAGGTTAGCTCTACTCTGTGCCTGTTCTGCCAAGTACTCCAAGTAAAAACACCTAGAACACTTACTTGATTTTCTAACAATTTCCTGTAAATTTGAGACAATTAGAGACTCAGGATGATTTGCCTGCTGGTGCTCAGGAAAGCCTTTTCAGTAAAGTTACAGGATCAGAACAGTTCAACTGATGACTGTAACAATCAGTGGCTGGATACACTGAATTAGTAAAATATGATTATTTACAGCTAGGTGTTGTCTCAGATGGATAGCCAAAGTTCTCTCTCATTGAACTGTAAGACTGAAGTAGTATGCCTAATTTATAGCCCTTCAGGAGCCTGGGGGAAGATGGCATGCAGATATCTGACTGTTTATCCATGTTCCCCCACTTACCAGGTAGCACAAGGCCACACTACCAGAACACTAAAAGTTCTGCTGTCAGATAGATACTCAAGAAAGAGAGAGAGCTGTCACTCAAGTTGATTCCTACAACTCTCCAAAAGCAGCCTCTGACATCAGTTTCTTTAGGGACTACATTTTAGCTACAAAGAGTTATCTGAGGAACATTCCAGTGTTTAAGCCAAATGTAAGCTAATGGAAAAGTCTCACTATGTAAGTCAGATTAACGTAGAGAGATT